TATGATGTGGAAGAGGAAATTGTTGATCCTGGATATAATCAACTTAAGGCTAAGAAAATTCTCAACCATTACTTATCCCTCAAATTCTCTTCTCTGACATGTTTTCCATCTTGTTTTAGGGGAGAGTGAAAAAAGAAAAAGAGAATTAAATCCCCTCAAATATGTCCAATTTCAAGGATATCTCCTCACTTATGTTTTCATCTCTCTCCTCCTCTTTCAACTAATTTTGCAGAGCTTTGCCCCATATTGGAACCCAATGGTATCTCTCTCTTTTTCTCTTCCCGAATTTTATGATGATCATTAGAAAAATGATCAAAATTCCTTTGGACGTAGTGTCCTGACATTTTTTTAATATTATATCAATCATTGTTAGATCTAAAAATTTGTATTTGACCACTTCATAGATTGAAATTCTTATGATTTTCTTCTTTCTTGGAATGAAACTTTTAGAACAAGGACACAGCTAATAATAATAGCTAAACCCGTGCATTTTTATACAAATCCTTCAAGAAAACTTTTTGTATGTATTTCAGATGCCTTTAATTGGATTCTCTTTCGAAACTAATAAACCTTTTAGATTCACATTTGAAAACTGACAAAAAAATCGTATATATATGAATTTATATTTGTTATGGTTTTTTACTTGTAGTTTTCATGAAGCATGCTAACAATTTATTTTCATATTAATAAGGGAAATGTGTGGTTCAGTGATGCATTCCACTTGTATCCAAATAAGATCAGTGCAATTTTTCTGCAACTTATAAGGTGGATCTAATTCCCTTGTACTGTTGTTTTACGCTTCTTGTTGGTTTGTTTGGAAACTGATAAAGTTACATGTTGTAGTCATATGCTAGCAAGCTAATACAAGGAAAGCTATGCCTAAATTAAAAGTCCCCTCTATTTAAAAATGTGTTGAATAAAGTAGAAAAGGATGATATTTCTTTGCATGGAAGTGTTGATTATTAGTACTTTTTTTAGTACCTAAAACCACAATTACTTGTCCTAGAAAACCCTCAACAAAAACAATTCCATGCTGTTATTTTGCTTATATTTGGGATCACAAAACACGTAACTGGCTTATACAAGTACGACAGATGTTAATTTACACTTCCTCGTTGAGATCCTGATTGCGGAGGTTTGGAGAAATTGTTTCAGTAAATTTTCCTTATATTTTAAATCTAATTAGAATTCCTGCTTAGTAGGTTCAAACTGCACCAGTATATTTTATTGCACAGTTGCATGTCTGAATTTCATTTATCTAATGAGATGTGGTAATCTATGGACCAAAAGAAAGTTCCATGTTTATGAAAGGATTTGTTAAAAGAAATGTTCTTCCAGTGTTGGATGAGGCTGCTTTTTGTAACTGTATGTTTTTAAGCTAGAATGAGAAAAATGAGACATGATTAGTCCTGCCTGTTTCCTTCTGGAAAATTAAATATGTTCCACTATTCGGAAAAAAATTAAATATGTTCCACAAGGAGAAAAGGAAAATCTTTTCTACCATGAAAAGGTATAGAATTGTTTCAAACAGAATTATTGTTATTTAGGTACAATAATGATTGTAGCTTTGTTTTTCCCAAACATATATCAAATGAAGCCTTACTGTCATGGCAACTGTTCTAATATCCACGAAGATCAAAATGCAGCCAGGGAAACTTCATCATGGTGTTTGATTATAGTAGAGGAAATGAGTGGATTCATGTTGACGGCCCCATTTAGGATTAAGGCAAAAATGATGATGACAATAAATAAAAATGTGCATAATGGATATAATAGGAGTATGCAGCATAAAACTATTGTTTATCAATCTGAGATTGTATATATTACTTATAGAGCTAATTTTAAATGTTTTGAGAAGCCCTTGGGCAATGGTTAGAAGGATTTTATAGATTTACCATACCATTCTTTTCCTTCTATTTTTCTCCTTCTGGTAGTATTTTGTTTAGTTTCTCTAAATCAATTTTGAAGTTAGAGCTTTATGCTATTAATTGTTACAATGTCTATTTTGACCTTAACGTGTTAGTTTATCTTTGTTTTCTCTAAACCAAGTCTTAAAAATGTGTCAGCCAAGTGTTTGAAATAAAATAAATTGCTTTTAAATTATAGTCACGGTCATGGAGTGTCAGATATGTGTTATAATGAGTGACAAGGAAACATTATCTTCGTAGAAGTATCATATTGTCAGTGATTCTTAGACTAGTAGAAAGTGCTATCTTGTTATATGCTGGATGTTAAGTATCTGTTATTAAATAAGGATCGAATAGGAGTTTATGATAACAAGAGAAAAATAATAACAAGAAAAATGAATAGGCACACACAAAAGGGATAAGGATTTATACGTGGTTCACCCTCACAAATAGGGTTACATCCACGGGCGATAATGATTCGTATCACTATAAAGAAGAAGATTACAAACTGAAGAACGTTTTGGTTCTTCCTCAAAATAATCTCTCTTCTCACACCACTCACTCACCAACATAAAACACTCACTCAACACTCAAGAAATACCCCAAATAGTATATAGTTTAAACAAAGAGAAAAACCTACCCAAAGACAAGCTTCAAGTGTCACTTGAAGATTACACACACAAAAGGATTTTCTCACACACACAAAACCAATATACTCTCTTGATCCGAATATTGTCTTACTTTTGGATGCCTTTCGGATGACTTTCATCAAATGTGTGCAAGGCTATATATAGCCCAAAAATACTTGGTGTCCAAGTATATTTCACAGCTTCTTTTAGAAGCCAAATGACACTTGTTGCCTAAGAATTATTCTTGTTACCCAAGAATTTTAGAACTTCCTTTGGAAGCTAATTTGGAAGCTTCACCATCACACTTCTTTAGCCAAAAGATTTTTGCCATGTCATAAATGAATTTTAGACAAATTTCTAACAAATCTCCATCTTAACTAAAATTCTCTACCTTGGCAAAACATTTCGAATGAGCCACAAAACTCCATCCTATGCAAAATTTCTCCGCCTTAGCAGAAACGATAAGACAATATCATAAAGAGTCTTTCTTCAACACAATGTGAGTAATAAAAATAACGCCATCGTCATCTCCAACAGAAAACAAATTAATAAAGAATTTTAGTTAAATTTGAGTTATCCTCAAACTTAACCATCGGGCTCTTATTCTTCAACCCATGCATGTCTTGCGCAGCCACAAGCATACCTTCAGTATTTGTGTCAAACTCTAAATGCTTACCAAAAGCAACCTTAGAAATTCCAATTTTGACATCTCCTTCAGCAACCTTCTCCAACCCCCCACAAACCACCGGCTGGTAATGAAAAGTCATTTTCTCACCCTTGTGGAGAATAGGACGTCCTTGACTTTTCCTCGCATCTCTGTTGTGACCAACTACTTGCCTCCCACGCATCTTTATGACACTCGAATGGACTATCTCATTGCCACCAAGATTATTGCAAGTCAATATCACAAGGACTGCTGTAATTTCGGTTGCCATATGCAAACGGATTTCATTCTCCCACCATGTTGTGTAGTCCCCTCACAACCCTTTTAAGAACTAGGATCGTAACTTCTCTTTTTATCTTTTCCTTTGCCAATACCTTGCTGAGTGAGCAGGGTTTACATCTTAATGCACCAAAGATTAAAACTAATCTTGCCATCAAATTTCTTAATCTCGTATTTTGTTGACATCTCAAAAACTCCCCAAAAGCTCTGATACCAGTTTGTTATGAAATAAGGATCGAATAAGAGTTTATGAGAACAAGAGAAAAATAATAACAAGAAACATGAATAGGCACACACAACAGGGACAAGGATTTATACGTGGTTCACCCTCACAAATAGGGTTACATCCGGGCGATGACTCGTATCACTATAAAGAAGAAGATTACAAACTGAAGAACGTTTTGGTTCTTCCTCACAATAATCTCTCTTCTCACACCACTCACTCACCAACAAAGAACACTCACTCAACACTCAAGAAATACCCCAAATAGTATATGGTTTAAACAAAGAGAAAAACCCACCCAAAGACAAACTTCAAGTGTCACTTGAAGATTGCAAACACAAAAGGATTTTCTCACACACACAAAACTAATATACTCTCTTGATCCGAATATTGTCTTACTCTTGGATGCTTCTCGGATGCCTTTCATCAAATGTGTGCAAGGCTATATATAGCCCAAAAATACTTGGTGTCCAAGTATATTTCACAGCTTCCTTTAGAAGCCAAATGACACTTGCTACCTAAGAATTATTCTTGTTACCCAAGAATTTTAGAGCTTCCTTTGGAAGCTAATTTGGAAGCTTCACCATCACACTTCTTTAGCCAAAAGATTTTTGCCATGTCATAAATGAATTTTAGACAAATTTCTAACAGTATCAAATGTTGTTGATCAAGTTGCTGCTTCTAAAAGTGTGTACAAGTAGTACAAAGTGTGTCATCATTATCTGGAAGTTTGTTGAAGAATTTAAATATTAAAATTATAATTACATTCTCTCTAACATTTTAAACTTTTAGCATAGATGGTTGTTAGTATGTTATCAAAGTAGGCAAGATCTTGCATTGTTAAACTATTGTTGTTTTTGAAAAATGTACCACACTAGACCCCGTGAATACTATTATTTACATTAACATAATATTCTCTTAGAATGTGGCTCTGCACAATTTTGGAATGCAGCCTTTGTAGATATATTTGTATACACCTGCAAATTCTTCACCATTGCCTTATGTGGAATGAGCTCTAATATTTGATAAGATTCATTATGTTCTTAGATGCTGATATACATATATATATACACATTCACATATATATATATATATATATATTATATGTTCATATATGCCAAACAATCCTGTGAACCTTTTTTGTTATGTTGACAAGTTAACAATTGGATTAATTTCTCATTGTTTGACTTCACTATGAAAGAAAAGAATTCTCATTATTTTGTTTTTTACAATTTTTTTCTTCTTTTGTCAGGGAAAAAAATTGATCAAGCACCTCAAATGAGAAACAAAGTGAGGTAATGGCGAGCAATAGTGGCAATCATGTTGTGCCTGAAGATGTAACAGTTGAGATATTATCGAGACTACCTGTGAAATCTTTGATGCGATTTGGGGGAGTTTGTAGATATTGGTACACTATCATCAGAAACTCTAGTTTCATTACCAAGCACCACGACCACCACAACAACAATGTCCATCTTCTTGTTCAGTACTACAATTTCGACACTGAAAAATTTGCTTTCAGCCTATTCCCCGATGAAAATCTTGACAGTGTACCACTATTGTATCATGAACTTGATGAGTTACAGATGTCTAGAGATCCATTATATGTTCTTGGTCCTGTTAATGGCATACTATGTTTGTTTAATGGTGGGGATCATGTAGCTTTGTGGAACCCCACTTTGAGAGATTTCAGGCTCCTCCCTAAGCTCCAAGAAAACAGTCCGCCTTATTTTACCATCAATTGGGATAGTTTTGCATTTGGTTTGGACCCCTTAACCAAAAATTATAAGGTGGTTTGGATTCGGTATTTTTGGGATGACCGGATAGATACCCTATATTTTCCTCCAATTGTTGCAGTATATACCCTATGGACTAATTCATGGAAAATGATTGAGATTGATTTGCCTCTAAATCAACCTATAGATAGTACTTTCAATGACGGATTTATTAATGGAACTTATTATTGGATGACGAGTGATAATTCAGATATGTATATGATTATTTCGTTTGAAATGGGCAATGAGACTTTCGGAATGATACGACTGCCATTAGATTTTCCCAAATTACCATGGGAAGGTCTTACTGTGTATAATGACTCACTTATTGTGATACTTTATCATCCACCTATGGAGGAGAAATACTTTGAAATATGGAGGATGGAGAAAGAGGGTCTGTGGAACAAGCAATTAACTATTGGACCCTTTCTAGATATTGACAGGCCACTTGGTTTATGGAAAAATGGTGAGCTTTTCCTAGAAAGTGAAAAAACTCAACAGTTACTCTTATACAACATTAATACCCAAGAAACTAAGGTTCTTGGACCTCGAGGATATGAACATTGCCTCAAGGTTTTAAACTACAAGCAGAGTTTAGTTTCTTTGAAGGGACAAAATGAATTTAGGGAAGTATACAATTCATCTAATATGATTCGAGAGTTCTGTACATCTTGACAGTTAGTTGATGAAGAAAGTGTCTCTGACTTCTGTCGATCTTTGTATCCTTCATACATGTCTTTACTGGAGCAACAGTAAGTTAGAGGGAAAGGAAAGGAAAGGGAAGCTAAGGCACTTTATATTTGTGTCTTTATCTTGTATCTGCAGCCTTTTCCTTCATTTCATGTGCTTTTCGAATTTGAATTTGAGTGAGAGATAATTAGTATGTAACATTGTGTACTTACTTCCTATCGAAAAATTTAAAAAAAAAAAATAATAGTTCCTTTATATATTTGAGTTGAGTGTAACCACTAGCAATTTGAACATCTGAGTACATATGCCAATTTTTTTATTTTCTTGTTTTTAAGAACTTCGGAGAAAACAGTGGAACAAAGGCACATGTTCTAAGTGAATAGAGTTCTATTTCTAATCTTAATGACAAGAAACTAAAACAAAGCAGAAGAGAGAATTGAAGTTGTAAATTTTCATGGTCGATAACGTCAGATCTTTCGATATTTTTTTATGTGAATAATTATTTTCAATTTCTGATAAGCTATGTAACACCAAATTTATTAGATTTGATCTTTTCAAATTTTACTAACTGCTGTTTCGAATGTCTGACTGAATTTTATACAAAGAGGGAACACTCAACTTTTTAAAAAATGCAGATTAAAATTTTAAATTGCATTTTTGTATGTATAATTTCTTTAAATTTTAAAATTACCCTTCAACTTTTCTGTGTATATAATTCTTTAAAATTTTAAAATTGCCCCTCTCAAATTTTTTTTATTTGCACTGTGCCCCCGTGCATTATTCTTGACTAGGGAAAATGTTCATTATCCCGGTACCTATTGTCTAGATTCATCGGCCAATGAAAACTAACTATGTGTAAGGACCCTATCATTTTTTTTTTTTTCATTTTTATGGATTTTCTTTTTTCACTGATTTTTTCTTTTCTAAATTCGGGTTTTGTCCCTTCAGGTCGTCGTGAGTGCTCGGAAATAGCTCCCGACACTTTTCCTTTTGGGAGATTTATCGTCCTTGTAAGGGCCGTGCCATTTTCTTCTTTTTTTTCCGGCATTTTTCTTTTTTTTTTTCGTCCTTTTTTCGTTTATTGTTTTCTTTTGCGTAACCTCACTTTTTGTGTTCGGATTTGATTCCGCCTTTATATGCATCCATTGCATTTGATTTACATGAAATGCATAGTTTTATTTTTTTAGAAAAGCATGCTACTTGTTTACTTTTCATGTGAGGGTATGGATGCATAGTTTCTTCGGAAACATTTTTGCTTTTTAGGGTAATTGCGTACTTAAATTTTGTAAAAAAATTTCGTCTTAGGGACCATTTTGAAATTTAATTTGCAAGATATTTGGAGGAGGGGCCTTTTTGCAAATATATTTTTAAAATATCTTGGAAGAGGGACTTTTGTGCAATTACTTAAAGTGTGTGTGCGAGAAAGGTAGTGTTGGCTGATATGTCTAATTTTACCACTTGCAATAGAAAAATTCCGTATAGGATAGCTCTACGTAAAGAGGATGTTGAACCCACAGGGAGATGAGATTAAGCTTTAGTTTTTCCTTTAGTCCTAATGGTTTATAAGTAACTGGTTGAAAAGTTTGCTTGGTTGTCACGATTAAAAACAAACTTAAATTAAACTGAAATAATAAACTACGTAATCAGAGAGAGAAATCTTAGGGCTTTGACTTCACCACAATTAGCATACTATGGTTAATTGTATCAACTCTGGGAATTTAACCAATTATGTTTTTAAATGAATTGAACTCAATAACATACGTTTAATTCGGGTTTTAAAGAAAGATGTTTTACAAAATTCAGTTAATTATAATCTATCCGTGGTTAGCATAGACTATCCACTTACTTACTCTAACTACTTTAACTACTTTACAAATAATCCATCTTTCCTAAGTATAGACTATAAAAACATTCTTTTGTAAAAAATATTGGAACACTATTATATGACCTTTATTCTTATGGCCAGCAGGGCTTTGCCAGATACCGTCCAATAAGATAGGTTGAGAATAGAAAACAAACAATTATATCTAAGACAAGGTAATAACAGTTTGTAATCTATTAAAGTATGAAAACCAATTGAGTTGTCTTAATTGCTCATAGTCATATAATTAACAAAAACATAATATATTAAAATAATCCCAGAGTTAAGAACAATCACACCATAATACTCGATTGGGTTATATCAGTGTCCTAAGAGAGGAATTAGTTACTCATGACGATGTCGGATATCATCTGTGTTGGTGTTGTCTTTATCGTCACAGATGACACTTCTCTTCTCAAGATCTTCACCTTCTAAGGTTGTAAGAACCCTAAAAGCCACCACTTTATTAGCCTTTTAAATAACACCGTAAAGAGGATTTGAAATTTGAAACCTCTTCTATCAAGGCTTACACATTCCTTTATAGATGAAAATAAGGATTTGGTGGGCTTTTACGTCTTCTGGCCCATCTGGGATAAGATACGGCTGGTAAAGAAAGCAATCCCGTAACTTTAATTTGACATGTCACGGAAGGCTCGAACTTTAGGAACAAAGGCTCGAACTTTAAGATTCAGGCTCGAGCTTTTTTGGATTGATGCTCGAGCTCCAAGAATTGGTACTCAATCTTTACTTTGACACTTAGCCAATTTTCTTCAATTATTTTTCGAAGCGTCTTTTTCTTCAACACTTAGAATATTTTTGGAATGAAATCTTTTAACATTGCTCGATCCAAGCTTCATGGGCTCGAGTGTGATACCCCCGAATTTCCGAATGCGGGTTGGCTAGGCCCACGCTCAAATACCTGAGGATATAAAAAAAATGACTATAATTGAACACGGAATACACATATGATAAACATGAATAATAAAAATGGCTGAAAGAAAACTAAAACGATAATCCAATAATAAAAACCTCAGAATAAATTTTTATAAATAAGAAAATATTCTGATACAACCAATCCTTCCATACTAATACAACTTGGGAATCCATACTATGTGGACCCCTAGAAAATCCCAACTGAACAAGTGACTTAAATCAAAACACTGGAACATAAAGAAACTTCTATGTAATTAATCCGGAAGAGTGAAGTAGACGATCCCTGCTTAGTACGAACAATCCCTACTCCTAACGAATACTTAAAAAAAAATAGTGGGTCAGACCCACAAACAAATTCTACTCTAATACAGTCAAAGCAGAGACCCGATACACAGATACATCCTAAATAACTCAACAATAACTATATAGACCATAACTATATATATATCCACACGAAAGGACTCTCACTGGACTGCAGACGGGTCTCAACCTGACTAGTAGGTAACATACAAAACGCACCTGAAGTGGGCATGAGTACCTAGACTTAGCAGGGTACACCTCAAACCATCATAACCAGCTATACATCCCAATGCATATACGCTCCCTAACCGTCGATCCTGAGACTCAAGCTCATATCGAGGTACCAAAAATATATATATAAATTCCATCCAAAACTAATGAAGTGCCGCTCAACTGTTCGTTGCCAAGACACGACATTTAATTAGGATTTAAATGTTATAATTAAATCCATATCCTTAATCCAGAATAGGTAGGAGTTAGCGTTTTGATCTAATCCAAACCTGATATGCCACCGTCCCATACCAGTGCATATAATCCACATAAGTGCATATAATTGATAGAACAGATAACGCAATTCAATAATTAAAATCCAGAATAGGCAGGTTTTAGCGTTTTGATCTAATCCATACGTAATATGCCACCGTCCCAAACCAGTGCACATAATCCACAAACCAATCCAATAATTGATAAAACATAAATAAACAGTTCATCAATTAAAATCCAGAATGAGCATAATACAAATCTGATATGTATATGACCATAATCTGCATCCAATACAAGATCTAAAAATCAAATCATAATCAATTAAATTGCTAATTTAACATTTAAGCAATTAAATCCTCCCCGTCCGTTTACAACATGAAAACTTATTTAAAAATTCATATTGTTTAAATCCTTAGTGTATTATGCATCCAATAATTCATATTATCCTAATCCTTAGTGTATTAGGCATCCAATAATTCATATTATTCTAAGCCTTAGTGTATTATGCATCCAATACCAATTTAAAATCAGATCATAATCATAGTCATTAAATTGCTAAAATAATATTTAAGCAAGTAAATTCCGCTCATCCGATAACAATATGTAAATTTGTTTAAAATTTCATATTGTTCTAAATATTAGTATACAGGTATAAATTAAACATTGTGGGACTTTAACATATCTTGGAAAATTATTTAGAATACCTAAAATCAACCCAACTAATTTCTGGAACTCCAAAACACCTAAACAGTGCCCAAAAACATCACCTATACGCACCAAATCAAGAGAGCCTGCTCTCAATTCTATGAAGCTGGCTCCATCCACCTTGGAGCTTGCTTTAGATAGGTGGGAACCAGCTCCCTAACCCCTGGAGGTGGCTCTTCACTTAAGGGAGCCGGCTCCCACTTCTATGGAGCCGGCTCTCTCCCTCTCTGAGAGCCCTAAACCTATTTCCACTTGTTTTACTCCCTCGTCCTCGTCTCTGGCAGGTTTACACACCTCTGTAACTCAATATTAAGTTTCCTAAGAGTTTAATCTATGTCCCGATTTTATTCCAGAAATCATAAAACGTAGTATGCATCATTAACAACAATTATAAACACAACAGATGAAACAATATATAAGATGAATCAGTTTTAATTAACACATAAAAATAGTTATTACTCTCCATTAATAAGCATGCAAATTCAGTGTTTTTAAAGTTCGATTAACATCCTGGAGTGTATCTAGGCATGCACAGAACACAAGTGGCAAGAAATAGAACTTATCTTTGGTTTCATTTTGGAAACCTTAAACCGTCTTCTCTAATATTTCCAATGACTCCTTTACGGCCGTCTACTGCTCTTGGTTCAACCCGCAAGCAACCCTTTTCCTTCTTCCTTGGTCTGACCTTCAATCTATAGCCAAA